TCTTAACGATGCTTTTATTTGTTTGTAGTTAATTTGGTACAAATACTTAATAGGGAGTTCGGACTGCTACTGTTTTATTGCTTACTTCATGAAATGGTAGAATAGAGGGGTTGTACTAAGTGTCATGTATAAGACATTTTACGATGCAGTCTGTCCCGTGTTTCATCCCTTGGCTGTAAACACAGACCGAATTTTGCATGCGGCTAGGAGCGGGGATCATTAGTACAGCCACCTATCCGCCATGTATTGAATAATCATGTAACTAATTTGCAAGACGGATATACGAAAGAAAGAGAAAACAGGGGGAAACAAAGAGAATAAAATAGGAGAGAAAGAAGAGGAAATTGTTTATATTTTCAGACCTGTTTATATTTTCACAAACTGTTCCTCATTTGTTCTTAGAAACTTTTCCACACTGTTTGAAATTAGAAACAATTTCGATTATTTCAAAGTATTTTTACACATGTGACAAATGAATTATGAAACATTGCTCAACTTTGTATTGGGAATTTTTTTTGCAGCCATACAAACACGGAATCCGAGAATAGCAGTGGAGTGAGCGTACTGATTAATTCATTCAGTGGTCGAACAATTCGTATCCGAGTTGCGAAGAAAAAAGGCAAAGAAGATGAGAAATTGTTAAGCGAGGGCAAACTCGAAGAAGAAGGCGAAGAGCAACTGTCATCCATCTGGAGTACCATATCCACGTATGTAACTTCTGTAGAAAAAGAATTTCCTGTAGAAGAAGTTTCTTGTTGCAGCACTTATTTATACAGTCGCAAGACGAATATGCGTCTTGGACATGGATGGATCCGGGAAGGGGAGAGGGGGATCTTTCGCCTTTCCAACGAGACAGGCACCTGTTGTAGAGGAAAGCCCGGGTTGAAAACTATAATTGAAGGAAACTCTCTTCCGCTCTCCCGGTTCCCCGTCGCCTCACTCCCCTCCCCGATCGTCACCGCATCTGTAGATCATTTCTCCCCCCTTCTGCCCCTATTATGTTGGAACATTGGACAGCTGCTTTTCCTTCAATATTTTTTGCATCCCTTTCCGATACAGCGGGCTTTTTTCCTATTCTACTGAGCTTGCTGCATGTGCAAAGCTTCACACAGGCATTCAATTAGGCGCCACAACTCTAGATATAGTACTATGAATAGTAGAGTAAGAAGATTGGAATTAGGTGTCGTGTATAAGAAGACATTTCACGATGCAGCAGTGTTTCATCCCTTAGCTGTAAGGCTTATATTTACTTGAAACGCTTAGAGATAAGCTGTAATCCGTAGTCTGATTCTGCAGCTGTACAGCTGTCAAATTTTCCGCTTGCTTTGTTCAGTACAACATCACCTGGTACTGTGTTGAGAACGCAAGAGGGTGAAAGGTGTGTGCTAGTGCTCCCCTGATATCCGCTGTTCGTCCAGAGACTCCCTCTGATCCCCTGCTCTATTGGCTTAGGAAAATTGGTCCGAAAATGTTCCAAAGCAAAGCAATACAGGAACATTTTTTGTTTTTTTTTAAATCAATTTCACAAACGAAGAGATAAAAAATCCTTAGGCCTTTACCAGGGAGAGAGAGAGAGGAGTTTACCACGTACCACGTACAGCTCCTCAAATTTTCAACTTCCCCGTGGAAGTTTTGGCAAGAAAAATCATTATTTCGGGAGCCAGAAGAGTTAGGGGGTGAAGATTTCAGGTGAATGTTCATTACCTAAGCAGGAGCTTCACAAATTCGTCGCAAACTGCAAGCAAATAGCAAGTGCCATTTGACTATCTTACTTCATCAGTCTCGCACAAAAAATTTTGAAACCATCAAAAAATTGGCTATGAATCAAAAATCAATTTGCTACTGACAATCCCAGTATTTGTTTCGTTTTGAAGCCTAAAGATTTTTCCCGGCAAAAATTACTTAGCAAAAATTTAACTTTTCAAAGTTGCGAATGTGCACTACCATGAAACAACAGCTGACCAGTCTGTGACCAATTGACCGCTGTACACGCCCTGGGATCATTTTGTTATTTTTTCAATTTTTTGCAGAAGTGTAACAGGTGGTGAAAAATACGATACGATAAATATATTTTCACTGGCATCCGGACACCTGTATGAACGATTTATGCGCATCATGATTCTGAGTACAATGAAACACACCAAATATCCCGTGAAATTTTGGCTTCTCAAGAACTACCTCTCACCTCATTTTAAGGTTAATTTTTTTTTACTTTGTGGTTTAGTTCAGATAAGTCAAAAATCTATTGACTGCATAGGAGGCATGAGGAAATTTTGACTCGACAAATGAGGATGATTGAACGATTTTCGGTGTTTTTGACGTTGCTAATGAGTATTGTTCACGCCTAAACAGTAGAAATTTCTGAACTTCTAGGAAGCCCGAATTTTTGGATGATTGATAAATGCTGAAAAAATCGAAAATGAAGGCGATTGCTTGAATGATTTTTGAAATCTTAGTGCGCCTACAAAAATTCAGGAGAGTTGAGTGCACTACTGACAAGTATGTTAATGGTCCTTTGAGGACTAGCTTTAGCAGCAAAATTTTGAGGGATCCTTCTTCCTTCTCCTTCCGCTTTGCAGTTATTTTTTGACACTATCTGGGTACCATTCAATAATCCGCTTTGTTCAACTGTTTTGTCCATTCCTTGCTCTTGATTAGAGTAGCTATTTCTTGCGTGTTGCATTGCCTCATGAGCGTTTTTCACGAATAAGTATATGAAAGTTTAAAAATACGAACGTATATTATTCGAAGAATGAGTGTTTCCTAGCCTTTGTCGTTTAAATTTTGCCAAAAATATTTTTTTTTTTCGGAATTTTCAGGAAACGCTACCTCTAATGGCGAAGCATTACGGTTTCCAGTATGAACTGGTCGAATATCGATGGCCACGTTGGCTTTATCAACAAACTGAGAAGCAGAGAGTTATGTGGGGG